CTACTTGTGGTAGCATTCTGCCCTTAAGTAGACATGCTGTTTACACGACGACAACGCTAGCGTTCAGTTACGCTTACTTCTCGCCATTTGGTGACTGAATTTGTTGCAGACTGTAACAGCAGCGTTGTCCTGTTTTTTCCTATATCGCCTACTGTCCCTATGCGTGTTAGTCAGGGAAAACTGTTCTGTAAACGAATTCATGTGTGTTGCTAGGCGACTGTCGTACAGACGGACAAAAGCATGTTGCAGAGAAGGGAAAGCCTTTGGGCGTGGTGTTCCTCCCCTAAATCGCTAGCTTTTGTACAATTGACTAAAACGTCTATTTATAAATTCTCGTTTTCCGAATATGAGGCCTAATTTGGGAAATCTCAAATTGTTTAATAAATTGCATACACATCTTCTGCAGCCTCGATTCAGACAGTGATAAACACTTGAAAAGTTTAATCCTCGTCTGGGATGAAGTATTTATTTAAAGCAACTTTTGGCAGATTGGAATTTTTTATTTGTGAAAATCTCGGTGACCTTGACAGCTCTGGTCACCTAAGCTACGAGGTCCCACCGGGAGCCCTGAGCCAAGCTTTTCATAACTGGGGCAAATGAATGGATAAATTATTTTTCTGCCCTCAAAAACTTATGTTCGGATTTTTAACCGCCGGTAAGGCAAACACATACTCTCCCAGACTCGAAGCTTAATTTAAGGTCCGAAAATTCACATTTATTGATCTGCACTGGGCATTATTTATGGCTTTTATGGCAGTTCTCACGCATTTCAGATGCGAGTCTCTGTGTAAAACGCATTAGGCGGGGGCATGCCACCCATCCTCATATACCTCTAGTCGCTTTGCTGCTGCCGGCCCCTGCAAGAAGGCAGAGCGAGAGGGGTTGACCCAGCTCAGACCCGAGGCAGTAGGGTGAATCATCTCCATGTGCCTGTTTTTAGCACATTTGAAGTACCTATTGCGCCTCCACAATGTTGCCATAACTGTGTTTGTATGCACGGTTTATGATGCAGTTTGGGAGTTTTTGAAAAGGGTCGTCTTAAATTTGTGCCCTCAGTGTACTTAAAATCCAAAATGAACTCGAATTTCCGGACTGTTAGGTTGTTCTTCTATTTTTCCTCCTCCGTGCTTCCCTAAATGTGCTGGTTTTTTTTTATCATGGCCTGTTCTAGGTGTCTCTGGAAGAACTAGCTCTGCCTCATCCGCGCACATTCAGTCTTCAAAAAGTGGTGGAAATTTCCTACTACAATATGGGCCGAATCCGGTTGCAGTGGTCTCGCGTCTGGGAACACATTGGCCAACACTTTACTACCGCCGGACGGTCCTCCAACGAGGACGTGGCCGTCTTCGCAGTTGACTCTCTCCGCCAGCTGTCTGTCAAGCTGATTGAGAAGGGTGAACTGCCGAATTTCCACTTTCAGAAGGAGTTCCTTCGGTAATTTCTTGTCTATCCGTTTGCGCCTTCAACGTACCGCAATCCCCCCACTAGTACAGCCTCTATTTCCCAGTCCGTGTTCTAGTTTTTTTTCCCTATTTGCTGGATGGACCAAATGTTGTTGGTGGTAGTCTGGCAGGAAAGTTGTTTTTGGTCTACCAACTATTGCTCTTTTGAGAAGTAGAAGACGACTCGTTCGCTGGGACAATATGTTTATTCGCCTGACGTTTCTGCGACTGTTCTGTGAGTATGTCTCTGATGATGAATCCGCGACGGAT